TATTGAAAACATTCGGCAAGGTATATATAAAGTTGAGATTCTGGAGGTAGAAGAAGAGGAAAAATTGCACGAATTTAGCAGTTTCCGTCGATCAAAACCATTTGTAAAAATCAGTAGAATTTCCGAGCACTTCGAAAAGATCCGTTTTACAAGTCTGTGGGAGGATACCAATAAAAATGAATATTACAATAGGGAAAGGAAGAAATGTGATCGAATGCAAGCAGAGATGAAAATGAGGCGTAATAGTCAGCAAGTAGTTGTACACTAAAGTATAGTTCTGATTCGAACAATTTTTATTCGGCTTATTCGAACTGTGATTTAATTTCCAACGCTGGAAGTGCTTTCATTTCCAATTGGCAGATTTCTAATAGGCTGTAATAAACTGCCAATCCCAAATTGTGGTCAGAGACCAGAGTCAGAACTATTATTGCTAAGATTCGGTCTATTTTCGCAGGTGAACATCGATTGACCTCGATGAGATTGCGGGCGCAGTCATCAAGGGCATTATATAAGTTTGCAAGAACTGAGAGTTGTTTTATGTCACTATTTATAAATGCTTTCGACGTTAGTGGAGAGTTTTGGGCACATCAAATTTACCTAAGCCTAAGCCTTTCGTAATTTCTTATTCAAAGAAATCAATTAAAACATAGTTCAAAATTTCCTCATGAATTCCTCATTAGAGCCATGTTTTATTTTCGTTGTACTCGAAAATATAAACGTTGCATAGCTTAAAAGAAACTGCTTCATAAGAGAGATAAATGCAGACATTAATAAAGTAGGGCGATCTTGTTACGTAGCTGCACAACTGGGTCTCATAAAAAATACGGTTTTCAAAGAACGAAACGACAATTAAGACGAAAACTACAATGAGGACGAACGACTGGCTGTGGACAAACGACTCGAATCGGCTTTGGAGACGAGGATGTCGAACGATAGCCAAATGAAATTTCCATAACAGCCTCGTGCCATTAGTTCAATCGTCACGGAAAAGAAATCATTGATTGATAATGGCGACTTTAACGGAAAGTCAGTTTTCAGAATACGACGTCGAATGCCTAACAATTGATTGATGTTTTGAGCTTGTAGGTGTCGGGAAGTAGCTAGATGATTTCAAGCAGTCTTGGCATACACAGTAATATGGCTAACAGATGTATCAAGTCACTCAAAATAATTCCAAAAAAGATTGCTTCAAGCCTAAACGAGGTTGGTGTGCCAGGGTCATACACCGGTGTTCCGGAGGTTTCGGCCTCCTTGTCAGTGACCCCCGCCCCACATTAAGCCCTGCATTGTAGCAAGGAGGTAGGCGTATGTGGTGATGACATAGTATACAATGACATTGGTCCATCACCACCGCTCAGTCGATGGATTTTGGCTTTTAGATCAAAACTGATTCATAAGATCGACTGTTTTTGAAACCTCGCAAAAATCTACCAACCTCGTTTAGGCTCAAAACTTTCTTTTCGAGAATTAATTTCGAATGTTTCTTGCGAGGTTTTAAAAGCAGTCGATCTTATGTATCAAGTCACTATTGCTGCGTTCACACTTCACCCCGGCTGATGGCACTTTGCCAATTCTGGAAGGTTGGAAGGCACGATGAGCTCACGGCATGGCATCAAACTTGGAACTGATCTTGATTAGGTTGGATGGTTCCCTTCAACCGCTTGATGATTATTGGAGGACCGATGGCAGAAGGTCGTGGAAAATGACGGCCCTTGTTTTGGAAAGTAAACATCTCTTCAACTCTTTTCAAAAAATTCATGCTTTTATGCTATACTTTAAATAATGCTGATATTGATAACAATTTATCAATACAGTCATCAACAAGCAACAACCTGTAATAACAACGTCAAACAAAAACACAAATGGCACAAATCTTCAGCTATGCATAGGCATCTCTCGGTACTTTTCCGTTATCCTCACCCTGTTTGAGCCTTTTGGTAAAAACGTATTTTTTGTTTCATTTGAAGTGCAAATGACCAATCGTTAGCTAAAATCAAATGAATCCGAAAGATGTATTTTACTGTTTAAATGGCTTGTTATTGTGTTGTAATAATCGAAATAAAAATTTGCTTCACATTGTGCATCCTTCTTTGACTACTACAGTGTAATGAAGAGTTCTGTCTAGAAATAAAGTCACGTTGGAAATCGTCGAGATTCAAACAATTGAATATTATTAAAAGTCTAGCGGAGAAGATATCTGCCAAGAATTCTATGTGGTTTTAAACCTAGATTTGCTAAACAATTTCGTGAGACTCATGGTTTAAGCAAAATGATAGTGTACTGAGATGATGGGAAAATGATCTTGTGGGAACTATAGCTTTCAATAGAACATGTTAGAGATTAACAAATTCTATGGATTGAAAATTACTGTATAATTTTGCAGCGTGAAAAATGTATGATTTCGAGACCTACACAAAAGTTAGGACCCCACAGCAAATACATGCTTTCAGTGCCTCCAAATGTTGTATTATCCTTATGGCTGCAATATTAAAAATAATGAGGAAGGACTCGAAATGAAAAATCAAGTAGAGCTGTTAGGTCCGAAAAGGAATGCTTAGTCAACGGGCTTACATTGCTTTAGGCGGACTGCATAATCCTAACGATATACTATACAAGAGTTGCATCATTGATTTGTTAGAGGTCAACTTTTTGCTGGTTTCCATTTATATCTCCATTTTAACAACAATAAGGAAAAGATCAGTCAGAGAAACTAGCATGGATAGGGGGGCACTATAAGACTTTTAGGACAGTGGCCGAGTGGTGTGATGCTCGTCGCGGCGTGGCGCGGGATGTTTCCCACGCCCTAATACTCTCTGGAAGTCATCATGAAACACCACATGAAATTCCACAGCCATTCTATCCCTGAAATTGCAAGAGGTTGTGATCTACAGGTATTCATGTTCAAGAAGAAAACGAAACATCGGGATCCATACAGTGGGTAAAAATTGTGAGACCGATCAAATAAAGTGGTAAAGTGAAAAAGGTAATACTTTCAGTTTTGCCAAATTTTAAACAAGAAATGCCACTGTTTTTGGACATAAGGTTCACGCGAATCTTCGGATTCACTAGATGCTTCACAGTATTCGTAAACTATGTTCCTGAGATTCCAAGTTTAGCTCGCATCTCAGCAGTCCTATGGTTCCATTTCACACCTTTCTCTCCCGTTAAAACGAAAATCAGCCAGCAAAGTAAGTTAAAGATTTGATTCCAAACTTTAGAGCCAGTTTAATTTATAATTAGGTGGTCTTCCATATGAAAGTGAAAACAGGAGTTTCACCATAAAGTTCACCATTGTTCCTTGGTGTGCCGTTTGGTATACAAATAAAATTTTACATCTTGGGCTTCGGATTTTGTGATCTTTGAAAAAATCTGGAAAGTACACTCTATGCATGTTTAGAAAATAAGTGCTCATGATAAAAGTCTTTAAAGAAATCAGCCAAAAGACGATGACTTTTCTTTTTTTTCTCATTTTAAGGCAGTATTTCTTTCAAAAAAAAAATGAGAAAACTTGGTAAATTGTTCTTGACAACACATCGTCAAATCAATCAGTTTATTGGAAGTAAAAGAGTTACTTGCTTTAAGAGGCAAAAAACAGTGTTCTATAAATCAGTGACAAAAGCTTATATCAGGCGTTGTATCAATTGCATAGAAACGAAATAGGAGAATTCCGTTACCGCAACTCTTATACAGTCTAATTGCTAAAAATTTTATCTTCCTTGCAAATCTACATATTATTTGTAGCATGGTGTTTCCTTTTTTTAAAAATTGTTCATTTGATTTATTTTGAAATTTAAACCAATACTGTCGACGTACTCAGAAAATATCTCGTCATTTGCCATATTTTTCACCACATGAAGGTTTTGCTGAATTTTGTTGAACTCTTTTCCATATTTTCTCTGAATCAAATGTGTTCGCAATGGTGTCATATGGAAGATGAATTTTGATTTTTACATTGTTTACGACATGTCAGCAAACAAAACAGAAGGATCGCTGCGGCTGCAGCAACCGCTATTGTTATGGAAGAATTTAGTCGTTAGGTGGAAAGCAATCTTTCTAGTCGGTCGGTGGAAACGCGCTTTGCATAACCGCAGAAATGTAAACACGACTATCTCGGGATTTCGAAGAAAACTACACTTAATCAGCATTCATTATGTGAGCAAACAAACAAGTCAACATGTCCTCACTTCGCAAACAATGTTCCATAGTACGGCCCCATGTGTGGAAGGCGCTCACAAGTTAACAAATCATACTGCAGAAGTGCTTAGCTTGCAAAGATGTGACGACATGCCATTCAGGCACTTAATGAATTACGCCACATATCCCTTTTTTAAACGTAGCCACCATAAAGATATACACACTATAACAGGCTGTTGTCATAGAACATATTAGCTTCCTATTGTCTCTTGATCTACAGAATTAGTCTTTTTCTTTCTTTTTTGAACCACTACCGTTCGTGTTAAATGATGCGCTTCGAGCCATTGCAACACGTGGATTTTTCGTCTGACAGAGTGGGGGGGTCGACCGGCAGACGAGGCGAACTATGAACATAATGTTGTAGTTTCATAATAAAATTCGGACTTTTACCTCCGCTAGAGGAGTTTCGTGGTTAGCAGAAAAGAGATTATTAATAGAGGAACCTCAAGAAGGCTGTCGGTAGAAGAAACAACGCCAATGTTTTCCTATAAACTATGAAACAATCATTTATTTCTCAGTAGTGATTATTTGTCTAATAAGGAAATCATGTTTTGAGGTACATTGTATATCATGAATCTCTTTTCAGAGGTCTGTGCACTCTGATCTGAGAAATTGTTATGAATTGTGTGCCCAACCGCCAAAGGGATTTGTCTCGTCAGCCATATTGGCACTGATTCTGGTTACGCTGACAAATATTGGATTTGAGTGATCAACAGAAATTTCTTTTATTTAACCGCTTTTCTAGCGACGGTATGATGTTACGGATATATCCAATAATGTTGAGTCATATGAGAAATTCTGAACTTTGGACGGGACTCAAACCCGCATCTCCTCCTCCTTGCGGGGGAAGTGTGCTAACCACTGCAGCACTACGGTTCTTTTTCTGCTATCACTCTTTCAGAAAAAGCGAAGCACTGGTGCAACCTTCAACCAAGGTCCAAAACTCCGCATATCTGCAACATTTATAGATCATACCAATGTCGAAAAATCGCTAAAAATTTCTTGGCAATCACATAACTTTAAAGGTACATCATTATAAACTGCAGAAGGTTAGTAAACAACTGTGACCAGGAACTGTCGTCGTAGTAACCTCTTTCGCCTATGTAGAAAGAGCTATAGAAGTGAACTGGAATTTTCATACGGCTCACGCACAGTGCGTAATCAGCGATGATATATTATGACAACCAGACAAACCATGGGACGATGGTAGCCACAACTCCAGCCTGTGAATCTAAGTAAAACTGCGATGTTAAACGGCGGAGTGTTAATAATTAAGCGGTTTGTCGGTTAGAACAACCGATAACGGAAGAGTGCCAGTTCTTTTTATTCAATGGAGATTTTTTTCTCCTTTGTGAAAAGAAAAAGTTCATGTTCCCTTCATTATTTGATGCTCCACGATTTTTAAATGCTCATATAGCTTGGATACATGTGTAACACATATGTGTAAAGGAAAGGCTCGCGATTACCTTGCAATTATAGTACTTTTGGCATTCAGTCATTAGTAAAAAGTTGTACAAAACATATGACGAGTCGAATCCCTTGCCGTCAACATTGTTCATTATATACTACACCCAGTAGAATACGCATCTTTATCGAAGAAGTTCTCTACAAAATGATGAGTGGGTCCATCAAAGCTTATAGAAATCTTTTCAGTGACCTTCCAACTTTTTCTAAAGCTACGGCTTCTGAGATGTATAAATTTTGTTACACAAGTGCAATAAACTGGTTGAGAAGTTTAAGCGACGGACTAGCTGCTCTGATTGTGAGACATGATCTTCTTCTTGATAGCATTATTTTGAGCTTTTCTTGAGATGTGCTATGGCACTTATACGATACTAAACGTACGTTTCGCTTCGAATTCATCAGTGGCGCGGTGTCTTCCGTGTGAGCCACTGCGTTGTAAGGGAAAATACCCTTTACAAATAAAGGAACAGACAATGGAGATGTTACAGTGCGCAGGATGAAAAGATTACTTCACTACAGAGAACAAAAGGCACCGTGTTACAGATGAAATTGAATGGGCGAAACGTATCTAGCACATCACGTGCCACGACATTCCTCATGAAAAGCTTAAAATATGCTATCAAATTATACGTTGTTACAAATGAGGTCTCAAAAACAGTCGATTATTAATATCTTTTTTTACTGGCGCAACGCACTGAAAACCTCAAAAAAAAAACAAACTTACTGTCAGGATTTTTGTTTTCCATGCTACCAGATGGCTACTAAAATTTTGCTGTAAAACCGAGCATAAACAAAAGCTGAGCATAAAAAGCGCTCCGGAAGCAAAATGTAATCTTTTCTTATCACACCACAACGACAAGGCCTGTCATAAACCAAGCCCAGTGTTAAAACCATTGATTTCAGCTGTCGGATGACAACTACAAATACAATGCAATCTGTGTCCGACGAGAAAACTACGAAAGGCCAATGTATTTTTCTAATGTGCACTTGGTCCCTAAAAGGTTAATGCGGTCATCGTGAAAAGCTGTTGAAACGTTGAAAACGCCAGTTGGACAGTATTTACCAAGATCTTTGGTCATCATTTTCAAATAATATAGCAGTTGACCTCACTTTCCATTAGTCAAAGTAGTTTTCTTAGAAACCTGATAGTATGGGCTACGGGAAACTAGTGCAGTTTATGACCGCGCGTGTAGCAAAATACCATTTGTGGCATTGCCTAGTGCTGACTTCTTCTTGCTTTTGATCTCCATTTGGAATTTACAAGAAAGAAACTCAATGAGAGGTTTGTATGACTGGAATTTTGAGTTTGGAACGGTTTCTGCGGAAGAAGACTAGAGGGACAGTCGATTTGTGAGTTCTAAATCATGGAGGAATGTAGTGTTGATACCATTTTCATTCATTAGGCGTTACAGCAAAGCACCATTTAATGTCTGATGACAACTTATAAGATTGGGTCTTTTGGAAGGTGAAAGCAAACTGTCTTTTTGAGTGTACCGTTGTAGGTCATCCAGCACGAGCCATGTTTGGCCGATACGATATGTTAACAAATCTTGTTAGGTGGTAATTGTTCCAGCTGAAGTAGCTTCATTTCTCTTTCTAAACATCGCATTATAGTGCTGCAGATAAGATTTCAAATTTTTGAATAGATATACATTGTAGAACTTTTGAGATCTTCGTCGATCACCTCTTGTAACTGTACGTCTTCACTGCTTAGTCATGAAACACATAAAAAACGACGTGAGTTGATTTTCCATTCACATTGTGAGAAGATTATAGGCATATTCAGCTTTGAGCCTTTTCGATTTGCTGCTATATTTGTCACTTGCAGTGAAAATTACTGCAATCCGCGGTTTTTTCACAGGAAGGTAAAAGCTTTTTTGTATTGTCACGATAAAACGCTAATTTTTCGATGAAACGTATGAATTTCAAATCGAGATTTTTGATTCCATATTGTTTTTGAAAGCAGGTGACAGTTTTGTAAAGTCATGCTTGGATCTAAATTGATGGAGCAACAGCTCGACTGCAAGACAATCACATCTTGAACCTCTAACATACTCTGGATGTTGAAATTCTCGAGCATTCTGAGGAAAACGATTACCGATTCTTGAATAATGATATAGAATGATCTCTTGATCAAGTTGAACTTTTGCTTACTGTCAATTTTTTCTCCTACAGAAAACTACGTTGTGAAAGGATGCTGAGATATGAGTCAAATTAGAATCTAAGGTGGCTTCGAACCCGCGCCTGTGCCGCTCTCTGAGATTACAAAAACGGTGCGCATAATTTGAAGATGCATTTCAGGCTCTGACTCTTGTACGTATCTCACCATCCTCGTGATTTTGCTCAAAATGCTTGTAGAATAAAGAGTTTCCTTTTTACAAACAGACCATGACAATAATTTTTTTACAGTATCAAGCTGAATCAACACTGTACAAACAAGGTGTTCTCATCGAATAGTGTATAAAAGGCAAGCTGAGGTGTTAACAAAATATTACTGCTGGTTTTTTCAGGATTTAAGTCACGCTATTAATTTTTCAATTGCTAGTTGCGTGCAGCGTGCATCCGGATATAAATTCATAAATCTAGAAATTGCTCCATTGACACATAAATTTCCAACCTTTGCCCTTCATCAGAAGCACAATTTAGATTGTCTATTTCGGCTGTACGGATTGGAAGCACGTGCACTGGAGCTTGTATCTATGTGGTGGTGAAATAATCAAGAAAATCTGTCGTTAAATTGACTTCAAAAATATTGAAATGCATATCTGACATTGATTTTCAAGCATTTTCGAGAAATTTTTAGTAGTGTATTGTAACTTCTGTGTACACAAGTGAACAACCAAACGTTGTTTACAACTGAAAAACATCAAAACATATTTCAAGCAAAAAAAGACGAATACAAAAATTCTTCAAACTCACATCTTTGATCCTGGCAGAAGTAAACTTGGAATTACACGGAAACATCAAAACTCAACTCTGCAGCACGAGTTATGGCTTAATTATCATCTGGTAAAAGAGATAAATAGAAAATTGGGTTTGCTTTCGAATTCCGTTATGGCCCATACTAAATGCTTAGACCGCTCTCGAAGGAGTTCGTCGAATAATAAAATGTCAGTAAAATTTTTAGAGCTAGGAGTTTTTTAGATTTTGTGCTGGAGATATGAGCCTTCGTAGTGAAGAAGGTCGAAAGTCTCTTTCAAACGCTGGAGAGAGTAACCTATAGGCGGCAGTTGAGACTGTTTATTTGAGAATTTTTGTATTGTAGAACAATCGAGAATTCACAATTCAACAATCACTATTTATTTTAATAAGTTGAAAAGCTCGATAAGTTAATGGCACATGGACTAAATGGAGCGGAAGCAAAATCCAGTGCAAAAACCGACGAGGTTCAGTTCAGTGATCGAAATAATTGAGCTTTCACGCTTTATAAATGTCAAATTTGCATAAAATAAATAGTTTTGCTATCTTATTTGGAATTTTTGAAGTGAAGCAGCTAAGCAAATGTCTGCAGTCGTAACAGGATGATCACAGAGGAAAAATGATGTCAGGAAATCCAATAAATTTCATTAAAAGTCGCAGGGCTTATATCCAGGCATGGTCTGAAGAAAAAGCTCATTCTCTCTGCATATCATCTCACTACGATGTTGTATACTTAACATAAAAGTTGAGGAAGTTGGGCAAGAAAGTACTTCCGTGTTCCGTGAGCCTCTTGGTAGTCAATTACTACTTTTTTGCACCTTAACAGCTAGGTAATTAAAAAAACTCTACGATGACAAAACAAGTAAAATACATCTTAGTACTGGTCGTTTTAAGAACTTCAAAATATTACCTCTTCGAAGTTGATGGTGGTTAGGGAAAGACTTGAAAACTACAACGGTTGTTAGTTTGAATAATAAGGATATGCTAGAGCTTATATAATACGTTTCATTATTGCTCGTCGTTTTTTTTTCATTAACTCAACATTCGTCGGGTTCACTACATTGGAAACCCGGTAGTACGAAATATTGAAATTACAGAGGCAAAAGAAAATGGATCTGAAGAGAAATCTACTATCAAAAAATTTGCAGATTTCCAGCGGGGTTAGTTAGGAACGTTTTGAGATTTTTCAAGAAAATTATTTCTATCACGGACTTTCACTGATTAAGGAAGATATCTTCCGCTTCCGTCGTGTTGCTTCGATTGCGAGCTATAATAGATAATCCTTGAAAAAATGTAGTTCAAATATCTTTGCCACATGCGAAACATTTCCCTACCTACTCATCGAGATGTTTGATATTAACAGCACTATAAATGAGCATAAACTTGGAACAAGTGTACATTTTATGACAGACAAATATAAAGTCAATGAAAAAAAGGTCTAGTAGTTACAATGTTTTTCATGGCAGTCGCTAAACTGAAGGTGATTA